CGCGAGCGGAGACGCGCGGTGGTGTGCATCGCACGTACAAGCACAGTTCGTTTGCGCTCTCGATCTCCTGCCTGGCCGTGAGGAAACGATATGTCGGCCAGCGTCCTGCGTAACTGGATCTGCAGGACGGAGACGACGGCCGCGTCCAGTAGTTCGGCCTCGGGAGCCTTAGTGTAGAGAATGTCGACCGGGTAGCCGGCGCGGGATGCGGAAGATCGGAGCATCGTCGAAAAACTACAACCAAGTTAACATACAATATTTATGGATTTTGATAACCAGCGCTTGTTTAGCACTGTTCAACCCGATGATCCGACGATAACCTCGACTCGATCGCCGACATCATTGCTACGCATATATTTAACATCAACTACAAGTACGGTACTAACCGATCAATCGCGCGAACCTCCGAACCGGCCTTTCCGTAGACGCCCCGACAGCCGCCCGGCGCGCGCTGGACTGCACCGACGAGAATTTCTCGGCGTCGAGGGTCGCGCTGGATATGAGAAGCTTGAGGTCGGGCCGAAAGCGCGCGATGTCCTTAACGAGTCCAAACAGCACGTCGGTGTGCAGCGTGCGCTCGTGAGCCCCCCCCCGTCCGATGATGATGACGCTGTAGCCGGCGAGGTCGGGCTCGCTGAGAAACTCGCGCAGCAGCATGCCGTCGTCATGTACTTGAGCTGCGTGTGCGCTCCGACGTGCAGTCCTCGAAGCGGATCGAGTAGCCGACCTGCACGCGAAACAAGTGAACAGCTGTAGCAACAAGTGAACGGCTGTAGCAACAAGTGAACGGCTGTAGCGACAAGTGAACAGCTTTAGCAACAAGTGAACAGTTAGTGAATCACGATGATCAGCAATATCGACAATGTCCAAGGGGGTGTCGTTATCCACGGCAAAAACGTAGCGCTCACGATTAGACAGGTCAATTGGATTTACCTCGCCTCCGAGTTTGACGCCCATCTCCTCGCAACTCAAAACGCAGCGCAACACTCACGTAGGTCTTCGACTCTGCAAATTGGAGCTGACAAGCCTACGACCTTTCTTCTCTACCCCCTTTGTTGTAAGCCTGTACCAGACAAAAATTCCATCAGCGAAACACCTAAAAAACGTCTGAGTATCCTCCATGTAAGATTCTAAACGAAAGCGCGATATATAGCAGTGAATGATTATATTCAGCAGTAACAAATGGCCAAAAAAATACCAGGCAATAAATGAATTCATTTGTTTAAATTCAATTTAGAAAACTAATTTTAATTTCCTATTTAAACCTAACTCCACCGTTTTCATCCTAAAAATACCTATATAAACGTAAACCGCTCATGGGATTGTCATGAACCACAATAGTTAATATACTATTTACTATTTGGATGTGCTAATAAAACATTGCCGATCTTAGACATGTGTCCTATTTACCACACGGCACAACGAAATGTTAATCCAAATGATGTACGCAAGAATGTATTGTAACGAAAAGTACTACATAACGTAAGAGTGCTGATAGAGTGTACCTACATGTTCGTGGAGGTACTGTGGAATCTGAGTCGTCTTGCCACTGCCCGTTTCTCCCTCTATAATCAAGACTTGATGCTCGTCAATAGCCGCGAGAAGGTCTTCACGAAACGGATACACAGGAAGACTCTTCCTTACTTCCTGAATGCTCTCCTTCTTCTTCTCCCGCTCGGACAACACAGGCTCTTTTGAGTCCTTTCCCTTTGTGCCAGGCATCTGAAGAACTGTAAAATATAATATTGCAAATGCATGCAGCATCAGATCACATTACGACTATGCGCCATCATAGACAAATACTGTACAGATTTTTCTTAAGTTTACTTGGTTGCTTAGCTGAAATTCACTCACTAATCACCAATTCCCTTTTTCCTTTGCAACCGATACAAATAGTTTTGTATTACAAGCGCAGAACAATGCTCAATAGAAGCAGTGAAAAATAACTACTAGCATTATAACTTAAGAAATGAACTTGTGAAAAAAACCTAAAATACACTGGAAACATTTCCCCACATTGTTAAGTAGCAAATCTGTTACCGCACCTTGCACAAAGTCAATTTGATCCTCCAATACGTAGTCATAATCTTTTTCCTTCGTTTTTTCAGTCGCATCCCTAGCACCAAACTTCATCCGTGCTGTACCCAGTCTTTCTTCCTCCCATTTCTTCTGTTCATAATTTGGGCCTTTCTCCTTATCATCCTCATACATGTCTAACAATTTCTAAAAATGAAGGAGACAAAATAACAGACCTGTAAAAGCAATACTACTAAAAACAATACACTTTATAAGCATAGGTAAATAATATTATGATTTACGATATCTAACATAATCATTTATGACTGAAACAACACTCAACAATTAGATACTAATAACATCAACAACTACAAATATATACATTGAAATTATTTACTTAATTGACATAGTTAAACGCTTTCTTATATTTTATTGTTTTTTTTTATAAATGATCAAGCATAGGATGTGGTCTAAAAATTAGCAGTACAATTGTAATATTTGTCTATGTTGATATACTAAATCGTAACCACTGAACAGTGAAGCATATGTAGACTTACCTCGTTGTCCTTGGGGATGAAATATCTGTTAACCTTTTCAATTTCCCTGGCTTTCTGGTGGTCTTTTGCGAGTGCAAGCACATTTTTCTTGTATTTAGCTTCCGCCTTCTCTCTCTCCGTCAAACTGAAATTCAAATCTCACCTATATGACACCCAACTACATGCTAGCATAGGAAAAGATTCTGATTATGTTTGTCTCCACTATAACATGAATATTACTTGTGAAAGCATTCAGTTAAAATATGCACGCTATCAAGCAGAGCTGAGCAAAATGTAGCTAAGGGTACAAAGTCATCCTCTCTCAACTTACTGCTGATCACTGAAGAGATAGTCTTCGTCAACGATATCTGCCTCAAGTTCCAGCAGCTTGTCGTCAGTCCGCTTTTCCAGATACTTGCGACGCGACTCCACTCTTAGCTTAGGAAGAACCTTTTTCCGATCTTCTGCTTCGAGTTTCAGCCGCTGAGCAGCCGATTGGTACGCCTGTCAATGTGAGACAAGAAGTGACCAAAATGTGTGCATTTGTACATGTTCATGTAAAATTCCGTTGCTGGGCAACAGCAATCGAACCTTGTTGAGTTTATTTCAGTTTCCTTTTCATTATCAGACATTTACCAAGATGCCAACTCATGTAAACGCAGATGAAATTCGAAAGAAATCAGTGAAACCTCTACGGCACACATTCTAGTATATTTAGACCTTCTTATCAGACTTGGTAGCAACGCTTCTGGTTTTCTCCTTGTCCTTGTTGCGAAGACGTTTAGCAAACTCATCTCTCTCCTTCAGGTCATCTATCCTGTCCTTCTCCATCTTATCCATTTCATCTTCAGACTCTGACCTCGACGATTCCTCTTTCTTTACCCCTGACGCACTAACAGAACATTACACAATGAGGTAAAAAATACATAAAGATTTAAGATACACCCAAATCAGTGCAAATAAGAAAATACATTAATCATATGATATGCTGAAGACTGATTATTTCCAGTTTTCGTGAATAGCTTTTTATATATTTTAAAATCTATTACTATTTTAACATCTATATATATATTGATTTTTCCCTACTTACGATTCACTCTCAGAATCGCTGGATGATTCCTTTTTCTTTCTAATGTTTCTTTGTTTCTTTTTGGATGTCTTCAACTTCTAAAGAACAAAAAATAATTAGGATTAAGAAATTTACTTCCGAAAAACACGTAAGCATATATATATACAAGTGCTAGCACACAAATAGACACGAGACAGCTTCATTTGTTTTGTTCTACATTAACACGTTACCTGCCTGAGATAATATATAGGTATGTTTACCTTTGTTGGAGCTTGGTGGACTTCTTCACCACTGTCTCCATCTGAGACAAGTTGGTAGGATCTGTTTTTCGCTTGCTCCTTGAGGGCTTTCTCCTCACGTAATCTATTAGCATTCATTGCTTTCTCCTTGTGTGGTACCTAATACCGGGGCATATATTTCAATACTACACATACAAATGCGATATAAGAACACGCATGACATTTCAAATGTATTTAGCAAATTAACATTGATCCTGTGGAGAGATTGAGGTAGCTTATTTTTTCCTTAGTCCTTATATATCTGCTATGTGCATTTCAATTGCGATCATATTGCAAACCTGCATGTGATCAATGGCAGATTCTTATTCTCGTGAATTCCTATTTCTTTTGACTTGTTTAGTTGTTCGAATGAATCAAGAATATTTTTAAACTTACACCAGTATTAGTTACTAATAATATTTGATATGTGATATCCAGATATTTTTAGTTGCCAAATGTGTCATAATTTAATACCAGCATTTTTGCACAGGTACGAATTGATAGATCAACAGTGTCAACACTGTGGATTGCAGTATAAAAAAGTTTTTTGACTCTACAATTAATATAGTGAATTAACTAGAAAAAGAAGAGCACTCCAACATGGAAATTACAGCAAAATAACCTACTGAGCCTCATGTCTGAGTATGGAGTAGCTCTAGTAACTATAGCCCGCGTACTAGAGCCCTCTATAGCCGCGTACGGTTGCCGCTGGTAGCGGTTGCGGAGCCGGTAAGCTGACGGCTAACCGATGACCGATGCATAGAGTTACTAGAGCTAAGTATGGGGCTACTAAGACTGACTGAGTCTGGCAATGAGGCTTAAACAGCAAGAATGATCAAGTTTAAGGGCGTGTTTGTTTGGTCGGATCCACAGATCTCGATCCACCGAACCCGACCCTGCTAGCGAGGTGGATATTGATAGGGGATCCAATATGGCAGCCCGCGCCGCAATCACAGCTTGTTATTGTTATTGTCATGCATGATTAAGGTCACAGCGAACGCGAACGTTTGAAAAGTGAGGGCTCGAATTAACCTCGGCATACCGATCGACAATTGCCGATCGGTGCCCCTCAATTCGCCGTATGCCCTGATAAATCCAACCTCGACTGACGGCATCACCTGCTTTCCCGCTTTCTGTAATTGCGTCGGTGCGTCTACTAGACTGGTTCGCGGACCGACCTGTTTGTCGGCGAGGCGCGTGAATACATTGTCTAGCAGAGCGTGAGGCCGTAAGCGTACTACACTTTGCAAAACCGTCTTAGCTGCTAAGCGTGCTGTCTGCTGTTTCTGCTGAGTGCGGTGAGTTTGTCAGTTTGGTTTGGGTTGGGGTTCGAGTCCATTTTCCAGTGGATCGAGAATATCACTGGCATTTCAACAAATACAGTGAAATAAAAGATAAATGCATATAAATCTTATTGCAGCACATCACTAATACTCCATCTGTGGGGATTATATGGGAGTTGCGCAATGTAGTGCAGAGAGTCAGCATTTGTGCTGAATGTTAGCTTTCTTTTGCAGTGAAGCGAGTTGTTTTACGGCAGATAGGAAGAGTTATAGTGGTGCAGATGAAGTTGTAAGATTATTATGACATTATTTTATTTTTACTGAATTCAGGGTTCTCCAAGCTTTTCATTATAGCATGGGGTGATGCCTTTAGGCATAGTTGCAATCCGCCGAAGGCGGTTTGCCGTGCTAGGGGTCCGGGGGCTATGATATTAGCATGGCGGCTATGATATTTAGAAGGGGGTGCATTTTAGGATGGCGGGTCTCGACGATAGAATGGCGGCCGCCAAGGCTATAAGTGCTCTTGGAGAACCCTGTGATTTGTTGGAACTGCCAGTGCTCGAGATCTGTGGATCCGACCAAACAAACACGCCCTAAGAATTAAGATGTCAGAGCTAAACTTAGTCCGCAATGCAGACGTAAACTCCGCTTTGCTAATCTGAGGGTGCGGGTTTACCCATTACTGGGGTCTGCGTCGGCTCGGACTAAGCTAAACTAATCCGGGGTGTAACTGTTACACTAGGATTGAGCGCAAACTACACTAACTTAGTTACTTACCATGCCCCACAGTTCATGTGCAAACTCTGTCATATTTTCATCAACCTCGACTGTTCCAGTTTCCTTCAAGGTCTCCACAAACTCGTTTATGGACGTACTTCTCCCAGCAAGCGCAATTAAATACTGACCGACATACTTATCGCTCATGCCTAGCAAGTCGTACAACTTGTCGTTCACCCATCTATCCACCATTGTGACAGAGACAAACAAAAGTATAACTTAATAAATCAGGTAATGTTTGGGATTAGGTATCACCGAAACACATAATAAATAAAGAAGATGGCATATACTGTTTTCAATTTTAGTTATTACAAGCAACGATTACAAGCGACGATTCAACGTTGTTGAAATCAGCGTGTATTTACAACCTCTCAGCACAGATATTACTGTATACGGCAAACGCAGATTGGCGGTTTAAATAGCTTAATTTGTAATAAAAAATATATCAATTAATACTATCGAGTTACTATTTTAAATTATTGATCTCTGCTTAGCTTACTTATTAAAACATTTAATTTTGTTGGTTTTCTCATAGAGGTACACAAAGATGCGTGACGCAAAACGTGACGTCGTTAGCGTAAATACACAGGCGCCTTCTAGAATCACTTTCAAATTTTGTTATTAGAGCCCCAGCCCTAGAGATTAGTCTTGAAAGTCCAAGGAACTATACTTAATTCCATAATATAACTATAATGACACATCAAGGCGCTGCTCTTCAAAACTACAACAACGAGTTGGTTAAATGTAAGTTAGTTAGCTAAAATTCAGGAAACGCCAATGCAATGCCAATGGCAATGGCATCTCAAACAATCAATGAATCATAATGTCACACTGACAAGAGTAAAACTAAAACTAAAAGGCATTGCCATTGATGTTGATCGATTGTGGACACGGAAACTTGTACCGTTTCAATGATAAAATTATTAAAAATAAACACGCATTGTATATAGTAATAATATACTATTACTACCATAGAGATAATCATAGACTAGATTTAATGTTTAAATGTATTCTATATCAACTAACTCTGGATCTGGATAGTTTACTGCGTAGCCCACTCTACGTAAATTGTAGTCCGACTCCGAGTTTCCTCTGACCAATGCCCACAACGACGATTTTGGTGGATTTGGTGTGGGTTAGGAAAAGCTAACCCACACAAAATCCACCAAATTCGTCGATGTGAGCATTTGTCAGAGGAAACTCGGACTACGTAAATTGCTGTGCAAATGGCCAATTCACTACACAGTACACAGTCTCACTGCACTCCTGCTACAAACCCCGTATCCTCGTAAATAATAGTCTTCAAAGTTCAACGAACCGGCTTCATCAAGCAAGAGGGAATGCCAATCTTCACCTTCAGGACCATGATAAATTTAATGGAAAGTTGTGTTTAGCGTGGAGAAAGCGGACACAAAAAGGAGACCAATCAAGTTGGGCCAAAACAACATCAGCACTATCATGATAGCTTTTGGAAACCCATCTCACAGCTTTATGCTGAATGTCATCCAATTCTGAGCAGTTCTGAAGTGTATAGGGGCACCAGCCTGGCGAAGCACGTTCTAATATGGGGAGAACCATAGTTTTAAAAGCCAGGGACCGAGTTTTAGTATTGGCAAAGCTAAGGTTATACCGTAACATACCAAAGGAACAAGATGTTTTCTTACAAATATAATCAATGTGGGCATTAATGCAAAGAATTTGACATTTTTCAGCATTGAACGACATACTCCAGGTTGTTGCCCACTTCTCAGCATGAGTAATGGCACTCTGGAGGGCTAAATGATCACCCTTATTGTAGATGGTGCAGTGTAGACAGCAAAGTGAATAGAAGTAGAAAAGTCAGTTTCGGCCAACAAATCATTTATAAAGGACAAGAACAGCAATGCTTGTTGAGACTTGTCAAGACTTAATGTCCAATCATGAAGAACATTGATTAACTGGGTAACAGTAGAAAACTCATGTCAAAAACCATGTTGATGATGGGACAGAATATCATGCCTATTGAAGTGGCTCATAACAGGGGAATATGCTATATGCTCAAATGCCTTAGAGTCTTTAGAGCAAAGAGAAGTCGAAGATATTGGGCGATAATTTGAAGCAATTAGGGAAGATCTACCACCTTTATAAACTGGGGTAATGAGAGCTTTTTTTCCAATCAAAAGGAAGAGAACCTAGATCATAGGATTGACAGAACAAATTGTGTAGTGAAGGCCCAAGCTCATGTGCAAAGATTATGCAAAATAAAACCAGGCACCTTATCAGGACCAGCAGCCTGATGTGGGATATGTTCTTAAGTACCGAGTACACACCACTTAGGGAGCTGACAATTTTGCTCATCAGGGGGAACTTGTACATGGAATAGGGGTTGCACAAGAAGTATAGAAATCTGACTTGAATTGATCACTCAAAATAAACAGGCTTTCAAGGCAAGGAGACCCACAGACAATACCGTCACTACGGAGAAGGGATGGGATACCAGTTTCCCATTTTTTACATTTTATGAATCTCCAAAATTATCTACTGTGCACAAACTCACAGAAAGAAAGTGCGGTGGGAAAAAGCGTGAACGCCAAATTCGGGCAATGATAAAGGCAGTTGTTTGTATATTTTTGCTGTGATTGTGGCAGACTGTTACGAACGAAGCACGCGCTGCAAATTTGGCGCTCCGCGCTTTTATATAGGCCCAAAAAGAAGAGTAGGTAAACCATTAACAATTTGAAAGTGTCGACATGCATCGTTATAGGAGAAATAGGCATGTACAATGTCGCACTAGTGTTAAGCCATCGTTGATTAAGAATGAAAATGAAAGATAAGTGTCAATGACACTGTAGCCTCGCCAGCAAAGGGACAAATGACCGTGGTGAATGGGAAACAAGTACGCGAGTGGGGGGGGGGAGTTTTAGCCCACCACAGTTTTTAACAAGTATTTAGTGGTATATACTAAAGGTAAATAAAAACTTCTAGCTCATTTCCTTCATTGCTTTCTTAGATTAAAATAACTACTTCTAGAAACATTCATGTACTACAAATACGCCAACCCCCCCCCCCAAAAAGAACGCCTAGCAAGACGGCTTCTTGCGAGCTAGCAAGTGTAAACATTTTTATAATAGTTCAGATTTAGGCACTGCCTAAAAGCGCGGCAGCTCCATGTTAACGTGTTAAGATTGAGAGCGATACGCGTTAATTCCACGGTAGCGCTGCCCCTATATACCACGCTGACATGGTGTTTCCCTGCACCCCATAATCACAAACTTTTGTCAAAGGTTAATTGGTGCATGCGAAGTGTTTACTTCGTGCGGGGTCGCGCCCTTTCCTACCCGTGGGAGTTTTTTTTTCTGGCAGTAGCCACGGTTGCCATCTGTATATCGCCAATTAATAATTTATAAACCAAAATAATCACATTTGTGACGGTAGATGGCGCCTAACCCTTCTTTGATGTTTGCTTAGCGATGGCGTTTCGAAATAAATAGCTGTATGCTGCCGTTATCCGGACATGTTTGTAAAACTTTAACTCTAATATAGACGTTATCGGCAGGGTGCGACAGGAAATACGCAATTTTTGCATTAAAGATATTGTCAACTGAAAGTCTTGAAAAACGAACCAGACGAGTGTGACCACCCCACCAGACTGTTATCTGCGTGTCTATATAAATATTGCTATATAATTGCCAAAACCTACCTAATTTCCATTATTTTTGTTTAAATAAATCAAACCCCTGTGATACGTTTTTGGGGCCAGCCCTTATTCATTCACATACCATAAAAATGAGGCAAAAATCCGTTGAAGCTGAAACTGTACTAATGGCAATTTTCCATTTTTTGCCCCAAAAAATTGCCGTTGGTCGAAAGTACGTCGACTGGCCTGGCCGTACTCCAAAATAGGACGTGCATACCGTCTCATAGCAAGTAAAACTATACCCTAATTTCAAACATGTGGGTCAAACGGTTCCTGAGTATCGTTGACCGCTAAGCCAAAATGTTGCACGGACGTACGACGGACGGACGACCCATCGGCCAATAGCTATCTTGACGATGGTCGAAGCGTTGAGCCTAAAAAATCAGTAAGATTTTGCATAGAAGCTTGACTGTATCCTTAATCTGCTTCAAGTCCACAAAAGTGGTATTTATGAGGGTATAATTCACTTGTATGACATTCTGGATTGAAGTATGTGTGTATGTGCATGTACTAGTATTTTATCATATTGAAAACAGCAATATTCCAAGTGAAAACTAAACAACCTACCTATCCTCTTTCGGCCTTGTGACCAATAAGGCCAGAAGGCTGCAATGGTCTCATGCTCATATGTTGATATATCATGTGAAAAACACCACAGGGCTGCGGCCGGGCGCGCGTGACGCCCGCGCCCGACGATGTGCTAACGAATCTGGTTTCCTGGCATTTTCTTTCACCAGGCCTATACAAAAACAAGTAGAACTACGGTGCAGGATTTAGAATTATGTGTGTATTAGGTTTGTACCAGCAGTATGAGTTATGACCATTCTACTTACATGTTGATCCATGCCAGCGGTTTCCTACGCATCTGCTGGGTTCTGAATATAACAACATTGTTATAATACAGGTCACAGTTTTCTATGATTATAAAATGTAAGGTACTATAGGAATTTGATCATTTTAACTTGAGGAATCAATTAACAGACATATGATATGCAGGGTTTCTTATACATAAGAGGCACAGTGGCGCACCGCCGTTTGTCAAATTTAACATCACCATTGTGAAAATGTTTCAGGGTGCCTCAAATGCAGTCTAAGACATTCAAAATGTTAAACCTTTGAGGACTTCCCCCATCTCCCTCTCTCCCCACACGTCCGCCTTTAGCATCCGCATTGCGGTGCCTTTGAATCCATCGATGCGCCAGGTGTTTTTCCCAAACTGCCCATTACCTCCTTTTTCTAATTTTCCCTCTTTTTCTAATTTTCCCCAGAAGAAGAAACCGCCTGATATGTATATGACACCCACATACCTCCTACAATTGTGCTGTTGTGTGGGGGGCGGGTGCACAGTTTGCAGGCGTTGCAGCTTTGAATGCCACTTTAATGTTAACTTAATTTATATCGGTACTTATACACCAAGAGTAATGTATAGTTCTAGCAGCGAGCAGCAGCATTACTATTATTGACACTACCTGCTCAGGGTTCTGCCCAGGATTTTTTAGTGTCGGGCGCATCCAAGTTGCGACGAAGTCGATAGATGCAAGCGCCGTAGGCCGCGAAGCCAATCTAGGGCGGGTCCGGGGCATGCCCCACCGGGAAATTTTTTAATTTTGATAGTTCTGAAAACTCAATTTCCTGCATTGCTGAAGCCAATAAAGCCCATATATCACTTTTGCTTTTTATGATATCAAAAATTAGTGCCGCGGCGCGAGATATATGAGTGCCGGGTGGCAACCGCGAGTGCCGGGCACACCCGCCCACCGCCGCCCACCGTGGGCAGAACCCTGCTGCTTCTACATAATTATATTGGGTGTTCCTTCTGAAATATGAGTGTTTTGCTGTGCTAGGCATGTGTTTTCAATTTAGATTGGATGTGAATTCGTCAAATGTATTAAACCGTATGTATTACACATTTAAGATCCTTAAATTAACAGGTTATGTTTAGTGACATGGATAGTAGCAGGAGTTAATAAAGACAAATTTGTCTTTATTAAAACAATTTTGACTTGTTATTTATTACTTATTTTTTTACTTAAAATTTATTAAGACAAATTTGTCTTTATTAACTCCTGATAGTAGTAGTAATACCGGCACCTTTATCAGAATTAGAAACAGTTTTCAAACGTTTTTACAAGTGTATTTTTACCCTGTGAAACTCCCCCCCCCCCCCAATGTTAGGTTGCACCTTGGTAACAAATATTTCTCATTATGCTGAATGAATCAATTTAAAGAGAGAGCATTTGTATACTCTACTCTTCTTAAAACGATCTAATTATATAGTTTTCCGACAAGTAGTAGTGTGGAATTGCAGTTAGTGATGATATCGGCGGTCTAACGAACTCTCATTGTGTTGGTTGTAAGATTATTTCATGACACATCATGCAAGAATGCAATACTTGTCTCTTACAATAGTTGTCTCTTTGCCAATTGACAGGTATAGCCGAATTGTGCGATAAACGCAATGAGCTTCACAAACAGATCATACAAGAAGAGAATGAAAAGTCGAAACTGCAGAATGACCTTCGCATTATTACCGACAGATTGGCGAAGGTCAATGAAAACCTCAGCAGAAAAATTGCAGCGAGGAACGAGTTTGACAAAACGATAGCCGAAACGGAGTCTGCATATTCAAAGGTGCGTTCGCACACGGCGCTGTATCATTGGTGATCATTCATCGAAAACCACTTACACTGCGCACGCGAGTAACCAGGTCTTGTGAAACGTTGATTTAGATTCTGATAAGAGCAGTCGGACCACGCTAACATAATAACTTTTGTCATTTGTTGCTTGCATGCTTAGATCCTGGAGAGCTCACAGAGTTTGCTGAACGTTCTCAAGCGTGAGTCGGTGGAGCTCAAGGAAAGGGTGACAAGTGCTGGGCCTCTGAAGGCCACTTCGCAATGAGCAACGCAGACAAATGACACCATAGTGTGAATACCGTCCCTAACCTTGTTATATATAGTACCGCCTTCTTTATAAATAAGAAATGCAAATATGTACATTAACTCGAGCGTCGAGATTGAATTTGTGTGATTGTCAAGGTCAACGATGTTAGATAATTACAGAATCCACCAACCTCACTTCATGGGAGTGTTCCTTGTGGGTTAATGTGCTTGTAAATAGTAAATAGTAATAGTAATAGTAAATAGTAGAGCACGTGCGTTTGCAGTAAAAAACATGCATGTGTATATAAAATTTAAAACTTTATTTGTAATATTATGTATTGGATATGTTTATTGTTTGTAACACTCCTGAGAGCACATACCCAATGGCAGTAGCAAGCACAACGTCTGCCTTATACAAAATAGCATATTTTGTACTTAGGTTCCATAGCAAAATGATGCCAAACACATATATAGCCAGCTGCAGTGCAGATGCAGTGAAATATAAACCAATCGTACAATCATGAGTGAATAAAAACACATTTGTTTTTATTTACTCCTGGTACAATTATTCAATGATATATATCTTCTATTATGATACAAAATACTACTGATGAAAATACACGTTCCAATTTTGGCTGATATTTAAATAAATCAACGATGCTACAAAAACAAACTTACCAAAAATACACCTCTAGGAAATGCTAGAATTCATTGCTACCAGTATGCACAGCTTATCCTTCTGATTAAAATCACACAGCTAAGTAGCACTGTCTGATATCACGAAAACGCTTGTAAATATCCATTTAATTTTATGTTAGTCCGCCATTCCCTGTGTAGCTACAGGGAGAAGCATGTTGCTTGAAATAACTGATGTAGCAAATTTCAGATGACAGTTTCAAATAGATAGTGAGTACAGACTAGTAGCTTGTTTCTTCAACATACAAAATCCGCATTGAAACGCGCTTTTCTGCGACTTGATCAAAATTTAAGAAAACGAGTGACTTTTGAAAATTGGATGCAAGTGACGGGACCAGCTTAGTCATGTTAAGTTCACAACACACATCTACGTCGGCTGCCGTTGAGTGGTTAGTCATTACACTACTACTGCGCTGTCTACTTGACAGATGAGACTCAGATGTACGCTAACTCCCAGTTTCCTATTCAGCCAACCGCAGAGAAAAGGGCAGAGGACAAATCATGTCTAGGCATGTCACAAATATACTGTCCGATCCCATGACTAACGCTTTCCTGACTTAACTGAAAAGAAGACTAGTGTTTACTTTTAATTTCCGTACATACTTTTGGACACTGATAATAATAAAGGGGTACAATCAAAACATAACTAATCGAAAATTTATCGATATACAGTTAAGAGTAGCAGATAAGGGACCAGAAACTCTAAGGGTAGAATATGGGAATAAACGCCTTGTACACATTAGCAAGCTTGGCAGACAAGTTCCTACTGTAATAAACATGTAAATCAGGAGTCTATCAATAGATTGATACGCTCTTGATGTAATACATAGTACACACCTGACTACTAGATGTTTCGTGTGAAAAGATGAAGACTTACCAAATTAACTATGATCACTGCTTTGTAAAGCAGCAAGTGTGTGGCAGAGTTTCCTTCTCGCAAAATATACTTCATAGTTAATATCCCTCGTAAGTGTATCAAGTTAACCACCATAATGTGTGTAGCTATGAAAACAAGAACCAGTCGTAGTTAATGTAATATCGCCAACGCATAAAAAGTGGTAGAATTATAAAAATAGCACTGTGTCATCAAAACATGAATATCAAATTATCATATATGCAAAAATACAGTTGTTGTGAAGATGCTGCTAGTGCTAGTGCGTATCTCATTGATCAGCCGCCTTTTATTTAAAAACGTTGGGATTTTTGTGCCTTGTACTGCTCCATGACGCTTCCAAGTTAGTATATATATATACATTTACATCGATAATACTGAGTAATTCCATATGTGCAACAGTAATAGTGCCGAGTCACTCTACCCCTAGTGATTATGATACCATCATTGTTTTCTTGCATCTTGCGGGCGTCAAAACTGGAGCAAAGGGAAATCTGTAAAACTTGCAAATGTACATAGTCAACTAGAGAGTGTGATTAACCCCAAAAACTGTAATGAAAAGCACACTTCAGTACACACTTGCTGTCCCACGTTTTCAGAGCAGTCAGATGTGCCACTGCGGCACCAAGAATTTCTGAACCAACCCACTTTGTGTTCTCAACACCTGATACCTTAGAGCAATCAGGCAATAATTGTGCTAGTGTATGCATTACGTTTCCGCTGCGCGAATCAGTCAAAGAGGGTTTACTACGGTTTCCTAGAAACCGACGCACTGTACTTCCTTTCTAAATTTAATCCTGCACACATGGTTCTGCTTGCGTAGGAACCGAGAGTTCATCACAATTACATGCTACATTAGCTAGCACACGAGCTGTGCATTTGTTGTGTCCAGCTTTTCTTCCATTGAATTCCGCACACGTCTCGCATTCCATTCAAACCGTATCCGTCGCAACCAAGAGTAGATAATATAACATGTTATATTATCTACTCTGGTTGAAACCGACCTGCTGTAACCTTTGCCCCGTCGTCTGCACATAAATAACATATTTCGCTTCAAGTTCAGCAAAACTTTGGCAATCGGTCGACTAGATATCGATTGGAATTCTTCGTTTCGTAAAAATTTCCCGCAACAACGTTTGTAATAATTTGCGCGTGCAACCAATGAGCCGACGACTGCGCTACGCTCGACTCCATCCCATTCTCTCAGGCTCGTCTGTTTTGAAACCTATACACCATCTGTTTCATCATCGCAAGTGCTCCGGAGAAATGCAGCGACAATTTGGCTATTGGCTTTGGATCTATGGGATATTGACGCGACGCTGCGTTTACGTAATCGACTCGCAAATCATTGCATTCCACACAGTACTGATGAACGTAACAAAAATAAGTCGGGCCAATTAGCGCAGACCACTCGGAGAGACCTTCGGAAAATGTATAAACCAAAGCGACCATCTAACCCAGCTATGCGGCACATGCGCATAAAAGCAGCAAGATCTCAGTACAAAACTATTACTCCGATTTCTCATCTCAACGAAAATAAAGCCTTTGTTTACACATCCGTGAATCGAAAAAACGACATCAAAAGCTCTCGACAAACGTTCCAGGGAACAGCCCGCCCTTACCGGTCCGCTGCAGCGTGCCCTTGTACCATCCGTCGTCGCGCTTCTTGTGCACGTACACAATATCGCCAATCTTCAGCTCGAGCTCATGCTCCCCCTGGGGAGGGTAGGGAACGACGCAGCGAAAGCGTTCCCGGATCAGCGGCGCCGGCTGCATCGGCCTCGAGTCCGACTGCAAATCCGCGGCCGTGGCGCCATCTGGCGTCGACAGCGAGCGGTTCGCAGCAGACGTGATGTCACCGTCGGACCGATGGTGTCGGCCTTGCGCCGCCGCCGCCGCCGTCACGGGGGAGCCACCGTCCGCGGTCGGGAGCGGATGCAGCTGCCCGGCGTGTTTCTTCCGACCGCTGCCCGTTAGGAAGTGGAAGAGGTCCTTCGCGGACTTCTCCTTCTTTCCACCAAACCTCTTCTTCTTCTTCTCGAGCTTCTCCTCCTTCCAGCCCTTTGCCGCGTCCGGCCGCGCGTCTCCGTGCCACAAGCCGCCGCCGCCTCCGCCGCCGCCGCCGCCGCCGACGGACATGTTGGGCGGGGCCGACACGGTGCTGGAGGTCGGCGTGACCTGACCGAGCACGGACGGCGACGAGACGACGCGGCGCGACGCCGCCGACGCGCTCACGTACGGCCGCGGAGGCACCGCCGCCGCCGCAGTCGTCATCCCGCACGTCTGCCTCGGCGGGATCGACACCTCCGACTTGGGGCTGCCGCCGAGCGCGCACGTTCGCACGCCCGCGGTGGGCTGCCTCGCGGCGGCGGCCCGCTGAGGCAGCGTCGACGGCGACTTCGCCGCCTGCGCGTAGTTACCCGGGAAGACGCCGGCTGCGTTCGTCCGCAGGCAGATGCCGCGGTACCAGCCGTCGTGACACTTCTCGAGCACGCTGTACAGGTCGCCCTTACGCAGTTCCAGTTCGTCCGGCTTCTGGGGCTTGTACGGGTAGAGGGCGCTGTACAGAAGGGCCGGCTGGTTCTTCTTCGCTGCGGACGCGAGCCGCGCCGCGCTGATCCCGGACGTGCCGAGAGCGACCGAGCCTTGCACCGCGCCGCCACCGCCCGGCCCCGCACAGGACAGCATCGTCGTCGGGTAAGCTTCCTTCCCTGCTTGGGGCGGAGGGTGCAGCGGTGGCAGCCGGGCAGACTCGGTGCTCGTTCGCGGAGGAAGCGTCACCATGCCGATCTCGAGCGAGTGCCGCTGCGACGGCACAGCCGCGCGTACCGGCGACGACGGCAACGCCGACATCGAGTGTCGCTTTTTTGTCGGCAGCAAGGCGGCCGCGCGCGCCGGCGTCGTCTGCTGCCCGTCGCTCTCCGACGTGTCCGACGTGCTCGGGGTAGGTGGCGCCACCTTCGCCGGACCGGGCGCGCTCGCCGATAACTTGATGAGCGCCTTCGCCGGATTGTTCAGGTCGACAAACGAAATCGGGAAGATGCCGATCCTGTCGGCGAGCCGGCCCTCCGCCCAGTTCTCATCGACGCGTCGTATCACCTGGATGACGTTCCCCTTCTTGAACGTGAGACAATCCTTCTCGTTCTGATCGCTCACCTTGAAGTCGTACAGCGCCTTCGCCTGCGGCGCCGCGCTGGGCAGAGGCGTCAGCACCTGGATGTAGCTGACAGGAAGGAATCCGTGGCGGCCGTCGATCTCGCCGACGTACCAATTGTCGTCGATCTGCTTGCGAAGCAGGATGAGGTCGCCGCGTGCGAAGGTCAGGTCGCCGTGCTCCCTCGCCTCGTAAGCGAACAGCGCCCGCGCGCACGGCTGCGCGGGCCGCTGCTCGCCCGCCGCGTGCGACGGGCTGCGCTGCGGTGGCGTCCCGCGGCTCCCGCCCGCCTGTGTCGTCGTCGTCGTCGCGGAGATGCCTAGGCGCGGCGAGCAGACTGTCCGCGCGGGAGACTCGCGCGCGGAGATGCCAGCAAGCCCCGGACTCGTTCCGGCCGATTGCGCGTCGCCCGTCTTAGCGACGCTACCTGGCGAACCGCCCGTGTTAGCGACGCCACCTGGCGAGCCGCCCGTGTTAGCGATGCCACCTGGCGATCCGCCCGTGTTAGCGACGCCACCTGGCGAGCTGCCGGTGTTAGCGATGCCACCTGGCGAGCCGCCCACTACATTGTTGCTTGCAGTTGGCAGCTGCGCGTCAGTGACACTGCGCGTCTTCAGCCCCTCCAGTAGCCGCACGAGGAGGATGTTCGTTGGAAGACCGTCAACCTTAACATCGACCAGCGTCCGGCATTCGGGACAGCGGAGTTCGCGATGCGACTCGACGATCTCCTCGAGGCATCGTCTGCAGAACGTGTGTTGGCACGGCAACACGCGACTGGTCTCGTCCAGCATCTCGAAGCACACCGAGCACTCGAGTAGGTCGTTCAACAGCTTGTGATCCATCGCAGGTCGAGCGTAAAGCGCTACAACGTTAGCGGTGGAGGCAGTCACACAATTCCCACTTCACAGCGTTCACTTGATCTAAAGTCAGTACATTAGAAAGTCATGTTCCTTTACCTAGCTGGCCACATCTCAATCGTCATATAATAGTCATTATACTGAGCTTAGATGAGAGTCATGATCAGCTAGCGCATCACACAATCAATACATTAGAGTCTAGAAGATCGCCGGAAGCACTGGGACACATCACGAGTAAGCTGCACCATCGTACCCGGTCGCAATTCCCAACATGATTGTCGTGTCTCGCAATAAAAAAAAATTTTTTTTAAGTCGGTTCTCTCCGGAGATCGCTCAGGAGGCGATCAGTCGGAGTCGCCGGCGTTCTCAGCGGCCTCGGTCACCGCGGCGACGGCCGAAGCAAGGTCGCTGACCTTCCCCGTCTGCAGGCGCTCTCGGATCAACTCTGCGATGGCCTTCTGAGTGCGCTTATCGAGTCGCTCGAGCTTCCGCGCGACGTCGCGTTTCAGGTCCCAGTCGGGCTTGCGCGGCGCGAGGTTGATGAGATCGACCTCCTCGATGACGGGCGCGGGCCGGCCCGCCTCTAGCTGCTCGGCAACGCTTTCCTCGAGGCTCACCGGCTTGCTGTCGGCAATGGCGTGCTCCTGCAGGCTCTCGTCGGTCGGCCTGTAGCTGCGGAAGACTGGCTTCGCGAGTGACTCGCCCGCGGCGTGGCGCTTCCCCTCGGCGCTGTCCGCTTGTTCACCTGCGGGTTGACGAGACGGCACTGGTGAACGAGAACATTGGTACAAGTGTCTGGTTCGAGGATATAAGAGCTGTCCCCAATTCATTTTCGCAATGTGCGACATGTGTGGACAGCTCTTATATCCTCGGGCTACAAGTCTCGTCCATGTGACAGGTTATTGGACGGCAAGACGGTTATAGTGTCGGATAATTTTCGGCACACCCGCTGCACTGGATAACAACTCGTTGGTTACTCGAAATTAAAAGCGTCTCACGAATTGTTTTATCATTCTTCTTGATCTTGATACAATACACCGACAGTAACCAATTCTGGCGTTGGCGGGAGTCAAGAGAGGGCTGCCTGCTCTCTTCTTGACACAGTTTTCCACACTCTATCTCCTACATCATTAACCCTAACCTAACACATACTAGTAGTACGGCTGAGAGGGTCTATGTCCCCCGGGGTACTGCCGGAACGTACCCTGGGTACAATCCGGTATACCGGAACGTACTCTGGTACTATCTCATATGCCGGACCGTACCTCGCCTACTCCACTAACGAGTCTAGGGAGTCGCCTACGCCTACTCCCTAACCCGAACCCTAACCCTAATCCTAACCATAACCATATCAAATAGTGAACAGGGTACGTTCCGGTATAACGTTCCGGTATACCGGACCGTACCCAGGGTACGTTCCGGCAGTACCCTGGGGGACATAGACCCTATGAGCAGTAGTACAAGTAGTAACTCCAGTATCCTAACCGCTGCCTAAGTATAATAACGATTTCGTGTAGCACTAGTATCGCTGAGAGGGTCTATGTCCCCCGGGGTACTGCCGGAACGTACCCTGGGTACGGTCCGGTATACCGGAACGTACCCTGGTACTATCTAATATGCCGGACCGTACCTCGCCTACTCCACTAACGAGTCTAGGGAGTCGCCTACGCCTACTCCCTAACCCTAATCCTAACCCTAACCATACCAAATAGTGACCAGGGTACGTTCCGGTATACCAGACCGTACCCAGGGTACGTTCCGGCAGTACCCTGGGAGACATAGACCCTATGAGCACTAGTATCAGGCATGTTTGAAAGTTATTCATGGTAGCCTATAATATATATCATGATCACTAGATCAGCAGTATACCCAAGGTCTCGCATATGCAGTGTGTCTTACGGAGGTCAATCCCCACCTAGAAGTTCATTAATACACCTTTCCTACCTTGAGAGTTTGTGGGATACATACAGACAGACAGTGTATATTTAGCCGTAAAAATCCCAGTGTCTAAGTAAAAAACTAAAACAGTAAAACTAAAAAGTTAAAGTTAAAACGACGTTTGTGCACACTCCCTGTTATATTTCACTCATAACTACGCCGCAGTGCAAAGTACGAGTTTATAAAGAATTACGTTAAAATTGTGTACAATTCACTCAGAGATGTGGGGACCGTTACCTAATCGTTTCTGACGAAGCTGCTTGATCCTTTCTTGTCGTTTCTGGGCAGCATCCTGTAAGGATGAACTTCGGTCAGCCATATTCGCACTCATGTGATCGCGTCACGCCATCTATCGAATTAATAGTACACGAAATCATAGAACGGTCAACGAGTTCTTCTGAGCAAAAATCCCCTGCTGTTTGTTTCGATGGGGTCTACAAACAACTTATTTTGTAGAAAATTCGAATGATTTAAAGTTCTGCTATCATATGCATGTTGTGTGCAACTTATAGCATTAGAACGTTGTGAATTATCAGGGCTCGAATAGGGTGGAGCTATGGGGTGGAGCAATCGTGGCACCAAATTACCGATGAGCGCCAAGAGATGGCGTAAGCAACACCAGTTACGCAAAATCAAAATGCTCTTCTGTTTAGTCATGGCGTCAACAACATCATCTTCGTTTCAGAACAAGATGAGTAAAATCGAAGCAAGACTACGCGCTGAGAATGAGGCTTTAAAACGAGATAAAGTACAGACTTCATTAGATCTAGATTTGCATCTTAGCCCCCGGAGACAAAGACCAAGTACGCTTAATAAATTTAATTGACGTAATGTTAGTTGTTACTCGGTTACTGTGTCACTGTCAGTGTGTGTGTAGACTGTAGATACTGTTAGTGTTAGTGTTAGTGTTACTGTTAGAGTTACTGTGTTAGACTCTTACTCTTAGACTTAGTCTTACTTAGTCTTAGAGTGACGTTAGAGTTAGTAACCCGGTCGTAACGTCGCCGTGAGTGAGTTGGTATGTCTTGGAATCTGTAACTTCGCGAACAAACGCAATTTAGCGCCAGTGTCAGTAGGCCTAGTATCCACTGTGTGGTATTTTTCCGAGGCACATTGGGCCTGGCGGTGGGGGCACAGAAGTTCGAATGGCAAGCTCATGTAACATTGTAGATACAATAATGTAACCCAAACCCAAGAGGATAGGGTTACAAAGCCTCCCTATTCTTTTGTGCGGAGGAATGCCCGAGTGAATCACTCGGGGGGGGGGGGGCCGGTTTGCTGGTGCGTTTTCAGAGACTAGAACTTCCAAACTGGGGTTATTCTCAACACGAACCTTTCTCCGCTATCCAGGAACTTACTATGTATCGCAATACTCTGTATTAAACTAATATAACCTGTTACACAAATTCGAAGTGACGAGCCGCGGATATTTCAAGCGCCATTTCTGTTGACCTGTGACGTACGCATTCCCAGTGGGGAAGTTCTAGTCTCTGAAAACGCACCAGCAAACCGGCCCGAGTGATTCACTTGGGCATTCCTCCGCACAAAAGGATAGGGAGGCTTTGTAACCCTATCCTCTTGGTTTTGGGTTACATTATTGTATCTAGTAACATTGTACCAGTCGTTAATGCCTACAGGCTGTCTGGGGCCAGTTGCTGTGACATTGGTGGTAAACGTTGTGGTTGCTCACCGTCACTGAAGTGTCTATTGACCTTTACTTTATTACCTTTGACCTTACTATTGACCTTTACCTTTATTAACACGATTTTATCATATCTCTGTAGCTGTCAGTAACATCTAACTAATTGCAAGTGCTTTGGCATTAAATTTACATGGTATTGCAGGCTATAGAGTGATGCGGGGCACACTTGTTCTGTGTTTCTGTGTGATTATATTGTGTCGCGCTGTTGTGTGTCCCCAGTAACACTCTTA